GACATCTTTGGCTGTGTGGCAGACATTGGCTGGATCACAGGACACACCTATGTGGTCTACGGCCCCCTCTGCAATGGTGGTACCACTGTCCTTTTTGAGAGCACTCCTGTCTACCCTAACCCTGGTGAGTGAGGTGACTCAGGGGAGCTGCAAGGGGAAGTCTTTTCCTCTGCTTAGGAAGCCACTGCTGCTTCTCCCGGGGTGGAGTTGTTAATCCCTCTCTTTCCCTGCAGAAGGAATGGTAGCAGAGCTAGGTGATGTGAAGAAAAAGGGGCTGATGCTCCTGAACTGCTTCCATCCTTCCCACCATACAATAAACTTGGCTAGGGGTCCTCGTGCTGCTGGAGAGCCTTTGCTCTCACCTCTTCTTTCTCTACCTTGGTGTTGGGCTGGGAGGACCTGTGTGGATGTTTAGTGGCCCTGTTTCCATTCCAGGCCGCTACTGGGAAACAGTGGAGAGGTTAAGAATTAACCAGTTCTATGGGGCACCCACGGCCATCCGCCTGCTCCTCAGGTACGGCAATGAATGGGTGAAGAAGTATGACCGCTCTTCTCTCAAAATGCTTGGCTCAGGTAAGTGCAGCAAAGTGGGCTGGGGCAGCAAATCCCTGGGCATCACATTGTGCCTCTTCACAATGTCCTGGGCTGACTATATGATGCTTTTATCCCCAATTGTCTTGTTCTGTTTATACTGAATAATAAGTTTTGCACCTTTAAGACTTGTTCCAGAGAGTGAAGGGGGGAGAGAAGAAGCGCACAGTTTGTTTTCAGACACTGCACTCACTCCTCCACATTCTTCTTCCTGGACTGTTGTTGTCTGCAGATGCACAGACAGTGGAACAGAGCTCTCCTTTGTTTTAGTTAGTTTTAGCTAGCTGAGACAAAGAAGTTCCCTGGACAGTGTTTTTTTTTCCCTTTGGACCTGCTCTGTTTAAACCTGCTCTGGTCTGAGGGTTTGCCAAGAGTAGCAGCACATGAGACCCCAGAGTCAGGAGGCTGCACTATTTCTGCTCTGCCCCATTGTTTTTCCCCTTGCAGTGGGGGAACCTATCAACAAGGAGGCGTGGGAATGGTACTTCCGTGTGGTCGGCGAGACACGATGCCCAGTAGTTGACACTTGGTGGCAAACTGGTGAGATGCATTGATTGCTTGTTCCAGCTTCTGCTCTCCCAGCCTTTGGGAGTGACCTGCTGCTTTTCTGGCCAAGTGATAGTGGTTGTTCCTGACAGTCTTGTATGAGCAAGGCTGTAAGGGCCCTTGAGCACCCAAACATACAACAGAAAAATGGCCTTTAAAGCTAACCTAGATAAACATGGGGATTTGAGGGTACATCTCAACAGATCCCTGCTGAACTAAATGAGCATAATCATGCTTCTGCAAAGTTCCTTCCCCAGTTCTCTGGCAAAGCCAGCCCCAGCCCGTGCAGTATGTAGTAAGGGACAGGGCAAAGGCTGTTGGCCAAGCAGTGCTACTTGGCATTCCTCTTATCCCTGACTTTGATGAGCCTTACAGTTTCTTTTCTTTCAGAAACAGGAGGCATCTGTATCTCACCCTGTCCTTCTAATCCTGGAGCTGAAATCCTTCCAGGCATGGCTATGAGACCCTTTTTTGGGATCAGCCCCTCCCTCTTGGATGACAAGGTATGTTTATAACCTGCAGTCCAGCTGCTGGCTCAGCCCCCTTTCCCCCAGGTGCTTGCTGTGTGTACTTGCCAGTGGGAGTGGAAATCTGTAAGCATCTCTTTCCTGCTCATCTCTGCTGGACAGCAACCTTCCTTACTGGAAAGGGACAAACAGGGAAGCTGTTCTTCCAGCTAGTGCAGAAGTTGAGTTGTTGTCCAGCTTGCACTGTCCTGACAGGAGAGGCTGTGTTTGGGCTCCCTGGCACATCTTTCCAGGAAGGACAGGGCTGGGCAGGGACAGCCAGTCTCCCTGGAGAGGCCTTGCATCCCACCATGGGAGGCATTTTGTTGCAGGCATATGCTGGGAGAGACTAAGCCTGTCCTGTTGAAGTGAGGCACACAGGACCCTCCTCACTGCCCTCCCTGATTTCCATCACAGCATAGTTAAACAGGCAGTACCTAAACATCCCAAGTATCTTCAGCCATGGTTACTAAAAGGTAACTATTTCACAGGGAAATGTCCTTCTGGAAAATGATGTCTCAGGAGCTCTTTGCATCTCACAAGCCTGGCCCGGTATGGCACGAACCATTTACAATGACCACAAGAGATTTCTGAAAACTTATTTGACTTCTTATCCAGGTACGGAAAACATGTGGCAAGACACTTGCACACGTTTGGTTGGGTATGGTTGGTTCCACTTGCTGGCTTTTTGTATGGGGCAGGATTCAGGAGAGCTCGTATTGCTCCTTTGTTCTTCCAGACTCTCCACAGTCCTGGAGCCTTTCATCTCCCCAGGTCTGATATCACAGCACTGCCCCTCACCAACCTTCCCAATTGGATCACACACTGTTTTAATTCAGTGGATTTGTCCTTCTGCCTCCAGTCCCCTTGAGCACAGACCTCTTGCTGCATCTCTTGCAAACCCTGTCAGCCTCTGTGACTCACCCAGAGCACTGAGCAAGCCCAAAAGTGTGTGTCTGTCTTGATGTAATGCGAAGAGAAGCAGCAAGACCACAGGCACCTGCACTGGAGCAAAGTGCCCCCAGCACATGGTGGTGAGACAGGCACAGCATTAGCCAGTACACTGCAGAATGAGGGTAGGAGCCTGATGATAGAACAGGACCAACACAGGCAGAAGACTAAGGAAGGTGGGCACATTTACCCTGAGCAGTTGAGGAAGAAGCAGAGTACATGGACCCTGAAGCCAACAGAGAGGAGGAAGGGAAATATAGCTGCTGAGCAGCTCACATGCTCCCTCCAACAAGTGACTATGGCATGGTTCTGGCTACTGCAGGATTTTTCTTCACTGGGGATGGTGTGTATCGTACCAGTGAGGGCTACTACCAGCTAACAGGACGGCTGGATGACATCATTAGCATCAGTGGACACCGGCTGGGCACTGCAGAGGTGGAGAATGTTGTGGTAAGAGATGTGGGTGGGACATAAAACCATCCAAACTAAAGCAGTCAGGGACAGGAGGAAAAGATCAGTGCTTGCAGACCTACTGAGGCAGGAAGGAAAAAGGGCAGAGGCCATCTGAGGTCCTTCCTTATTCCTCTACATTATTGTGGGCTGCAGCAGCCAAGTCAGGTCAGGGCAGCTCCAGGGGGCAGCCAGCCTGCCAAAAGCACTGAGTCAAAGCCCTGCCCTGTTCTCTTCCAGAATCACCATGTGGCAGTGGCAGAGTCTGCTGTCATTGGCTACCCACATGAGATCAAGGGAGAAGGTAAGATGCTTTATCTCCTGCCCCAAAACATCTCCTGGGGCTATGGCACTGCAGTGGGAAGTGGGACCGGTAGCAGTGCTGTGTCCACACCATACACCATGTTAGTGGGGATCTCAGCACATCCATCACAACCTGCACCTGCTCACCAACCAGCTAGGCTTGGCCTCAGGTGGCAGCAGCATAGGGTGGCAGCAGCAGTGCTTCTGTGTGGCCAAAAGCACGTGGTTTTGGCTACAGAGCATCCCCTGAGGCTACCAGCAGAGAGGGGCTCTCCTGGCACTAGGTCCAGGCAGGTCTCAGGGGCATGGTGTGCACCATGCTCAGTGACCTGGTGGTCCTCCTGCCAGGAGCCTATGTGTTTGTTGTGCTGAAGGAGAAGGCCGGTGACTACACACAGGAGAATCTTGCTGCTGAGCTGCAGGAGCTCATCTCAAAGAAGATTGCTAAGTATGCAGCTCCAGATTATGTTCAGGTAACACAAGCAAACTGGTCTAACACCCACACTGGCAGATTGGCTGAGCCCTTTCTCTCAGCCTTGACTCTGCTCCTCCCCATCACAGGTCACACACCGGCTGCCCAAGACACGCTCAGGGAAAATTATGCGTCGGGTGCTACGGAAAATTGTGGAGGACAAGGCCAGTGAGCTTGGGGACCTAACCACCTTGGATGACCATGAGGCTGTGCAGCAGATCATAGAGGGACACAAGCACCTTGTGGAACAGCAGAAGGGCCACTAGCTTGGCTCTGCCAGCAGCCACCTCCTCCTCCTTCACTGCAAAACCAGGGAAACATCCAGAAAAGCCACTAAGCAAGCGGTGGCCAGTAAGTTCTCAGATCACACCTCCATTCCAGTCTTGAAGTGACCTCTCCACAACACAAGAGACCCTCAAAACCTGTCTCCATACACCCATGTAGACAGAGGAGAGAACATGCCTCATCATAGGCAAAAGAGTAAGGGGAGATAAGCTGTTTCATTCCATGAAATCAGAGAGCAGAAAGCCCTCCTTGAGGTTCCTTGTGCCTTGCAGTAGCTGCAGAGGTAGCAGCAGGCAGGATGTCCAGCCCTGGATAAGGGATACTACTCCTACCTCTGCTTTGCTCTTTTGCAATAGTCTTGTCCAGGACCACTGCCAACATACAAGCATCTCCTCCAAAGCAAACCCCAGAAAGAAAACATGCAACAGTTCAGTTAACAAATATTGACTCTTCTCCATAAAAAGAGTTTGAAAACAGGCCCCACATTTTAATACAAAAATGTTCCTTTCACCTGTAGCCGTGTGTTACAAAGAGAGCAGAGACATGCCCTGTGGTAGCATTCTCATGCCCTTGTCTCCTGCTGGCAAACACAATTCTTGACAGAGCCACAAGGTACATAAATCTGTTCTGCAGAGCTGTGTATCCAAGACAGAGCTCCTCATAAGGCACAGAGAGCAGAAAAGGAGGTTGCATTCTAACCTCACACCAATGTATTCCAGACAAAGTGGAGGTTTCTCTGGCTGTTGTTTCTACAAGACCCATGAGGCAGCATCTTCTCTCAGGGCGGCCTAGGAGCTCAGCTCCTTTCTCTTGTGAGTGCCAGGGAGGCAGAAGGAGGTTGGGAGAAGAGTGGCATGGTTGTGTCTACTCTTGGCAGAACTCCACACCATGAGTTCAGACATACTGTGTGTCCATCAGCAAAATCCAGAACTGGTCTTACACTGTTTGACACAGCTGCTGGCTTGGCAGCTCCATGTCTGCTACTGAGAGCTCTTCCACACATGTGCAGGTTCTGTGGCTGGTCAGACAAGGGCAAGTTCTTCAGTATCCTTCCTCAGAGGGGAGACGCTTCAACTTCTCACATCGAGTGAGCTCCCATCTTCCCTCCCCATGAAGTTTCAAAATCCAGCTGTGGAACTGCAATTCAACAGCACACTGAGGGATGTCTCTACAAGGGCATGGTCCACCCCCAGTGAGGTCCTCCAGCCTTAGTCACTCCCCTCTGCTTGCCAGAGACCCTCTCTACCTCACCACCACGAGGGAGGCATGGAGCACTGCCTCCCTGTCTCACCTTTTCCAGGCTGGGTCTGTGTCCCACACTGATCAGTGTCATGCCCAGCTGAAGGCACATACGGTACAGTTCATGCTCCACCTCTTCTGTCAAGGCACTGGTGGCCTCATCTAACACTGAAAGAAAAGCCATGAGCCCCACAAATCCTCTCCCAACCAGACATTTCCTGTAGGCAAGAACAGCAACACCCAAGAACATTTCACATATTAACTGGAGCTTACCAAGAGCATGTGCAGAAGGCAAGTGAGGAGAAACCTGAGACTCTGGTATTCCTCTGGCACAGCTGGTGTCAGGCAACTAGGAAAGCTGTCTTTCCCCTCAAGTACTTGAATCCATCCAAACCACACCATTCACCTCATTCCTCTCCCTCAACAGCTGCCCACCACTGCCTCATCCCCATCATGGCAAAAGCCAAGACATGAGCTTCTCCAGGCAGCCCACGTGCCGGAGTGCCAGGCTGAACAGCAGTCAGCGTACTCTTCCAGCACAGACCCTCCATGGAGCAGGTAGGATGGCCTGTGGCACCTTCCTGACTATTAAGGGTAAATACTACAGACCTGGGGCAAATAAATTCAAATCATCTCTGCAGCTTTTAGTTTGCCATCCACAGGTTCCTTCTGCCCAGACATCACTTAGCTGTGTCATGGGCTTTAGGGGAAAGAGAGGTACTTACACGTAGCTACCTGCTACTGAAACTGGCTCTGTTCACCCACATCCAACCTGGCCCTCATGGCAACTCCTCCAACAGCTCAAGCCTCCAGCAGAGCCTAAGGAACTGGCCCCATTAGCTAATCACAGATGCTTCTGTGGTCTCTCAGGACTGTTTGTCCCACTGCTCCTTGTCTTCTTTTGCCACATCAGGGCTAAATTTTCCATATTGCTCCACAACTGTACAGATGCTCGAGAGCTTCAGATATGACAGCTGCTGCCACACTCCCCAGCACATGCACTTCTTAGCATAGCAACTGGTGAGCAGGCTGATAGAGTTCTTCTTCTAGTACCATTGGACATGGACCATGAACATTAATCACCAGTTCCCCAAGAAGAAAATGTCTTATGTACAGCCTCTTGATTTACCACCGTCCGCACAAATAATGAAATATTTTCACATTTCACAAATGAATCCTCTGTGTACTATGCTGCTAAAATAACAGCCAAGACAAAGCATGTTCCTAGCACAAAAGGGATTTAATGAGCTGTGTCTGTACCAGCTTCTCTATATACCAAAGGCCTTTGTTTTTTTTCTCCCCTCTTTTGTAGTCAGTCACTCACCTGCATATTTTGGCTGGAGGTAGAAGAGCCGTGCAAATGAGAGCCTCTGCATCTCCCCTGGGGACAAGATGTCATACCTGCAGCAGGGTCGAGATTCAACACCTTCCTCAAGAAACAGAGCTTGTTTGCTGAAAATCTTAAGGGTTCTGATATTGGAGACCAGCAAACAACTGTCCCTGTGTGTCCCTTGTGCCCCCCTCCATACTGGGACTGGCTCTGCACCCCTGTACACAGTCAGATGCCTGCAGAACACCACAGCTGGTGATTGTTGGCATAGGTGCTTGGGCCATGAAGGCTTTGCTCCTGTATAGTGTCCACATCTCACAGAACACAGATAGACACAGATAAATCCAACAGCAATGTGCATCTGCTTAGAAGTGTTCCCCACTCAGAAATCACCCAAATGCACACAGACAGTGGGCTCCCTTACCAGTTCCAGTCCACCTGTTCATCCAGTCCTCCAGCCCTTGCCAGCAAATCAGTCTACAGAGAGCACAGCAGACTTGTGAACACAGTCCCCAACCCTGCAAGCCTATGGCCCTGAGCATAACCACCCGCTTTTTGCCAGTCTCCCTTTCCCAAGCTGAGCTGAAGTTGTACCATATTTCTCCTCCTCTTTCTGTCCCATAGACAACTGTGTCCCAGGCACAATGTCCCCACATAAGTTCAGCACACAATCATGCTGTGCTGCCACAAGAAATCATCCCTTCTTCCCTCGCTGCTGGCACCAGGAAAGAAGGCAGCAGTGCTATCAGTGACTCACCAGCCCAGCCAGCTCCAGGAATCGCACAATCCTCTCATCATCTGCAGACCCTAGGGAGAAAGCCATGCACTGTAAGGAGAGGCAGTGTGTGCTGGGGCCACTGCTGCATGAAGGAGTTGGTGAGGCAGGAGGGAAGAACTGGAATATCTCCTGAGGCTCAATGTGGTTGACCTGACCACTTAGTTATACCAGATCCTGAGCTTTGGCAGAGATAGCCCCAAAGACTGACCTTCCTTGAAAATGTTAACCATGCTTGTGAGCAGCATACCAGGAAGTAGTTGGGCTCCACAGATACACCTGAGATTTGCCTCAGTTCATGGCCACAGCCAGAACACAAGGATCCAGGCTTCAACTGCCAAGGCCCTGCCCTGTTGCCCTCTTAGAGCTGAGACTGCACACTACAGCAGTGGAGTCATGGAAACAGGGCTCAGGTAAGAGCCAGCAAAAGGACCTTATGTGGAAGAGAAATACCTCAGGGTGAGTCAGCTGTGGAGCAGAACATACACTTGAGCTGGTACAGTTAGGACCTAGAGAAGCTGAGAGGAAGGGCTGTGCATCTGCCATGGACCTCTCTGAAGCTGCTGGAGAGCCACAGCAGTAGCTGAGGGCTGTAGTTACTCTCAGCAAGACTGTGACTCCCAAGCTACAGCAGACCATGTGTGGTCTGGCTTCAGAAGAGGGTAGGGAAGGGAAAGGATCCATATATTCTGACCACAACAATGTGCAAAGCCATGGGACATCATTTTGAAAAAGTGGAAAAGATGGAGGTGGATGGAAAATAAGATTAAGGCAAATACGGCCTGCCGAAAGTCAGACCGTACCAAACAAATCAGATGTATCCCAACAGCAACATTTATCATGTCTAGCACAGCAGGAAGAGCATGGCCAGCTTGTCCTCATTATACTAAGACAGCAAGTTCTTATCAAGTGAGTATGCTCTCTCACAAAAGGAGGGGGACACAGAATTGACCTTAACACACACTAATCATCTAGGGAACACCAGAGCATCAGAAGCAAAATGGATGAATGTTCCTGATGGGTTACAGCAGGGAAGAAGCTGCACTGGGTACAGGACAGTGAGGCACTACCACAGTGTTGGTTAATAGCTCTAATGGATTTTCACAAACCTGAAAGCGGATAGATCTCCTTCAGGGGATAGATCACCTGTTTAACAGAGCAAAAGAAACCATGTCAGAGGGAGCTAGGCACTGATGCAGTAACATCAGAGATGCAGTAACATGAACTGAGGCACAAGGGAAGGAGCACCCACAGGTATCCTCCCTCTTGCAGGGTTTGCAGGGCATGACCACAGCTGGGAGGCCAGAGCAAAGACAGACCCTGGGCTCACCTGCTCACGCAGGCTTCCGTCAGTGAAGAAGGGCCTCTGTGGTAGGAACACCACTCCTCGGGGGCCAAAGCAGGTCAGCATCCTGATGCTCCCTGCACAGAGACACTCATCTGCAGGATCAGGCAGGAACTTCCCACTGCCCCCTGTAGTCCTGTCCCATAAAGTAGTCAACTAGACCCCACAAAAGTGTGTCTTTGCAACACAGAGCAAAACAATGAGAGCCAAAGACTGTGACAAGAGATGGGTGGCTCAAATCAGTGTATCAGTGACACATTTGCCATCACATGGTGGCACTGGCCTCACAAACTGCCACACTGCCACCTTGCAAACTCAGGGGAGCCTTGGTTGAGAAGAAGGCTGAGGCAAGTAGCAGTCCTCACCCCGTGTGCTCTCCCAGAGCCCTCCGAGGACCCTCAGGAGAGAGGTCTTCCCTGTACCGGTGTTTCCCACAATCATCACACTTTGTCCTTGTGAGATCCTGAGGCTCAAGTCCTTGATGAGCAGCTTGCCAGAGGATGGTACTGAGAGTGTCACTCGCTCCAGAAGGAAAGCTGTGTCCCTTGGCACTGGGTCCTCCCCAGAATGGCTGCTGGGCCACCACCAAGACAAAGAACAAGAGATCTGGGGGTAAGTGACCAAGCTGAGATTGGCAAAAATCAGGGACCTTAGATCTCCTGTGCCTCTGACAGTAGCCCTGCCCCACACACCCTGGGAATGACAAATGACAGTGAACACTGCCTGCTCCAACCAAAAGCATGCAACAGACTGTGACACCAAGGGCCACCTCCCTCCCATGGCAACCCCACACTCTGGCACCTAAGCTGCAAGCCAGCCAGTTACTGAGAGGTGACTCACCTGTCCAAATCCCAGCTGGTTTTGGCTTCTGAGTAGTTACCATTTTCTTTTCTGCCAAGGCTCAGCAAGGTCTCCTGCAGTTCACCAATCCTAGACACACAAGAGGTTGCGTGAAAGCCAGGGACAATTCCAGCAGCCTCCTCACAATATCCAAACTTGCCCATGCTTGCACACAAACAACAGTTTTTTTGGGTTTTTTTAATCACAGACCTGGGCAGAGTCTTGTTCTGCACTGCCCTTTCCTCCAGAGATGTGCCCACAGATAAGCTCACCTGTGTGTGTAGCCAGCTACATCAGTAACAGTGCTGGAGAGATCTATGAGCTGGCTGAAGCAGCCAATGAGGTAGATGGAAACAAAGGCATTCTGGGGAGAAATCACATGGCAGAGTAAGGGTCAGTGCTGAGCTGGGGCCCTGACCCTTATTCCACGACTGCAAAGAGGCAGCCAAGGAGTCCACACATTTGGCCACATCAGCTGTCTCGGGAGGATGAATGAGGAGTGGTGAAGTCACACAGGACGGTGGGAGTGACAATGACCACATTTTAAAGAAGCAGGGCTTCCCTGCTCAGTGCAGCAGTTTTTGCCAGGTAGACACACATCCTGTCACCCAGGGATGGTGTTTGCAGCATGCCTGATGGCCTGCCTAGGGCCCAGCATGCTTGCCCAAGTCACACAGATCCACACCACCAGCCCTGCCTCAGCACCATATATGGCTCAGAGCAGGGTGTCTCAGCCTGCAGTGCCCACTTAGCTATTTTTAGCTCTGCATTCTCTATCACAAGTCAGCTTTGAGTATCCGTAAAGAGTCAGGTCAGGAAGGTGAATGCAAGCCAGCTCAGCCTCTCTGGGGGCAAGGCTCACCCAGGGCATAACCTAGATCCACAGCCCCATCTCCACCTGCACTGCTGGAAACCAGAGGCTTTCTGACCTCCTGGGTTTTTTTAGACACAGAGGTCAGAGCCAGGAAACACATAAATGTGTCCTTGACAGTTCTCACGCCCAAGTTAATCACCTACCAGCTGCCTACAAGCTCCCATTTCCATAACACTGTGAGCTGGGGCAGTCTAACCTGAAGATCAATGCTGCAGGTTATCTAGTCCCAGGGCCACCAGCACCACATGAAACCTCCATCCTCAGTGCCTGCTCACCCTCCACAACGGGGTCACAGAGATTACCCTTAGCTCACCTTGCTGACAAGGGCACTGAGCTCTGTTGGACTCAGGTCGCCGTAGACACCAGAAAAGATGGGAATGGCAATGACCACGTAGCTCAGGATGCTGCCCAGGTAATCAAAGGTGTTGATCCCAACTGGGCACAAGCACATTGAAAGAAGACAGTGAGTTAAAGTAGAAACCTCTGTCCCAGCCAGGCCCAAGTGCTGACCCTGAGCCCCGTCAGAGGAAGAACCGTGTTCTTGCCTTGGCTCTTTATGATGAACCAGAGTAGAAAAACCTATTTTGCAGGATAGCACAAGCACCAGGGTGAAAATGCATTTGCCAAGGAAAGAGCACTTTGGGGCAGGCCCCTGAGCAGAGAATCATCATCCAGACACACAGCTCAGGGACTACTGTGGGGCAAAAGGCACTTTACCTGCTTGTTGCTATGCTTCAGGGGCCTGACTGATTCACAGTAAACAGGAGGGAAGGGCAAAAAGGAAGCTCTGGGGTGAGACAGTTTGCCATGAAGTGTGTCTTGGGAGCACACAGGCAGAAAGACTTAAGATTCCAAATTCCCACAGACACTTCTGTTCAGGGTTCTCCCTTCATTACACTGCCCAGAAGCTTGCTGTGCTGCTGAGATCAGGAAGAGTTGTCTTTATAGGAGTAATTTAAAGAAAAAAACTCAGTAAAAAAGGGAGAAGGAATATTTTCAGGGAACAGCTATGCTTAAGGGACAGGTTCTATAGTAAAGAAGTTTCCAAGCTCCCAACAACATACAGAGTGCCCAAAGCTCAAGCCCTTCCCTCTTTTCTTGGCGTGTGAACACCTGCACCACAAAAAAGCCAGATTCTGGGTCCTCCACAACTTTGCCTCTTTATGAGTTTTTACACAACAGGATTCCTCTTTAGCACTGCAGGAGGCACTCTCTGTTCACCCTCAGGGCTTTCACAGAGCAGCAAAAGGCAGAAGAAGAAAACACAGCACCCACCCAACTGCTCTAAAGTAGAGTTTCCCAGCGTGTGGGCCACCAGAATGGAGTTACCACACATCCCACTTCCCCCCCCTCAGTGTGCCCACTCACTGTATAGCCACAGCTCCTTCCCTATCAGCTCCCTCTGGGTCTTCAGCAGGCTCTGCAGCCTCCGGTTTGTGCGCATGTGCTCCACTCGCCCAGCCCTGTAAAAGCAACATTGCAACATGCCAGACATCCTAGGACATTGGGCTTTAAAACTGAAGCTTTGAATGGGCCTGGCACCTTTGCCTCTGACTAACAAACTCCTTATTGACCAGGAACTGAACAGCCAGGACTGTGTTCCTGAAGGGTATCATCACGGAACTCTGGCTGAAGCAAGCAGTCCTACAAATCTCTCCCAGAGCCCATGGCTGCTGCTGTTGCAGCAGGAGCAGGTAAAGCCAGGCCAGACACTGTCAGTGAGGCTCCAGCCTGAAGCAATGTACACCCAAGGTCAAACACAGTTCCCAAATACAGCCTGGCTGGAAAAGAGGGATGGCACTGCTACAGAGCTGGATCCAGACAGGAGAGGGCAGAGGAGAGTCCAGGGGGTGATAACCAGCTCACATGGCCTGCATGGCCAGCAGCTTTTGCCCACCTCTTCCCATTTCCCACTCCACAGGAATGGGACAAAGGCAAGTCCTGAGCAGTGCTACCCCCAGTATGGGTACCACAGCTCCACAACTTCCCCCTTCCCAGGGCTATCTCCATCAGGTCTCCCACCTCACAAGTTAGAGGCGATACTCCAGTGGCCAGGCTGAGCCAGGAGCAAGGAGGAATCTCCTAAACCACCACCTTCAAGCAAGTGTGACAGCTCCTGCTGCTGCTCTGCAAGGCCTGGGCTGCCCTCAGGTGGCAAAATGCAGAGAGCGCTCCACGACTCATTCCAGTCTCCTACCTGCCATAGCACCTATTGCCCCTGACATCCAACACAGGCTTGTGCCCACTACACAAACCATGCTCCCATCACAATCTATGCAACAAGGGGGTCACTAGGGCCCAAGATGATAAGGCCAGAAGCAGCACAAAAACATCCAAAATAAGATTTTTGAGGTCTCATTTCTAAAGTTCATAGAAAAATACATTTTCTTTCTCAAAAATGCACCTGGTTAGAATTCAGTTTGGCTTTACTGCCTTACAACACGTCTCAGGTAACTACTGAGCTGTGGTCTTTACTTTCCGTGTATTAGGAAAGGAGAAAGGCTTGGATACAAGGAATTAAAGGTGAGAAAGGAACCAGGGACCTTTGTTTTACAGCTATTATTTTGTTGCAGATGAGGAGAGATTGCTGTATTGGTTTCCTCTTTTCCTCCCATTCACTTCACTTTTAAAGCAAGTTTGCCAAGGACTTAGTAACAAAAGAAGTAAAAGGGTGGTAGTGCTCTGCTTCTGTTTCTTCCTTTACCAAAGCAATGTTTAGGCAGTCTTAAGAGGACAAGATCACAACCTAGAGAAGTTGAGCAGTCAAAACCAGCCACTCACCATATGCTCCTCCTCTTGCAGGATTCTGGGAATGCAACCTTTTAAAAAATTCCTTTATTTTTAATTATGATGCATACCATGAAAATGCCTGGTTGTGTGCAACTCAGCTAAGTTCTAGTTTCACACAAAATGACACTTTTCTACTAAAACATTGTACTGAACCAAAACATTCTGTTTTCTGGTATAATAATCTACTTTCCATTTTCTACTTAGTAATAGAATCTAAAAAATATTTCAAAATTGTGAGGGAAAGTACTGCATCTTAAATAAGGGCATGTAATTACAGTATCTTTTCCATTACAAAAAATTATCATCAACCGGTAAGAATCAGAGTGCAAAGAAATAACTCAGACTTGCCAGTGCAAGCCAAGATTGATTTTGGTTATTTAAATGAGTTTCATGCCTGTCAATGTAAGTTGTTATGAAATCAGTGATTTTGAATGAAACCACTGTGAGGACAGCAGCACAACACTTGAAATGCTCACTCAATATAGCATGAAGGAGCCAAATACAGATCATGGGCAGGGAAGACCAGAGAGAGGACATGTGCTACAATTCCTGGAAGGAGTGCAATTTCACAACGTATAGGGCAAAGCCAGACTCATGACAAGAGAGCAGCAACAACCTCCTGCCACCCCGACACAAGCTACACCAAATTCATGCCTCTTTTCCTGGTAAACCAAGCAGCAGCTCTACAGGCTTCAGGGCATCACTAAATGGGGGAGGTGCTGCTGGGCTCCTGATTGCTGGGCTCAGCTCTGGGGTGAATGGCATTGAGAAAATTTAGAGTGCCAGTACAGCATTTGGAGGGTCAGGGCACAGACTGAGCAAGAGGAGCAAAGCAGAGCTAAGATGGCCAAGTAGCAGCTAGCACACCCACAGAAGACATGCAGGCAAGCAGCAGCAGGATGGGGCCAGAAGCAGCATGCAACAAGTCCTCAGCAGAACCAGATACAATCAGACTTTGAGCAATCTTCCAGGTAAGGACCAAACAAAACATCAGTAATGATCTCTAAGCCAGCACCAAATCTGTATCTGCCTCTGAGGATGTTAGAAGGGAGGCAAAGGAAAGATAGCTGTCTCCAGTTGCTGTGGATTATTTCTGCAGATGATGCACAGAATGCAAAGAACCGGGCTGTATGATCAGGGCTGTATGATGCTGCAGTGGAAGGGATAGAAAGCTGCAGCAACAAAACTTGGGCTCCTTTGGGATATAAGAACACAACGAGGACACTCTGAACTGGGACAATCCTTTTGAGGATACAAAGAAATTAACACTACTAACCTGTAGAAAGCAGCTGGTTCTGCATTGACACGAATCTGCATGTGCTTGAACCTGTACAACCAAAAAAACATAACTGTGCACAAATGCTCAGTGAATTATGTAGCCAAAACCATTCCTAGAGGAAACTTATCTTGCATGTTAGAGCAGTGATCTGAAGCATCTCTTGACAGAAATATTCAACAGGCTCAGAAAGGCACCACAGACCAAGGCTTAACATGAGGTGCCATCATTCCGGGCTAGCTCAGTGATACATTTGCTTGCTATCCTGCTCTCTCTGCACATCTTCTCAGCCCTTGGGCTTACTCTTTGCTGCTAGTCCAGCATCTCCATACAAAATCACCACAGCCAACTTCCCTGGGCTGGGTTCCCTGTGCCACAACAGCTTCTGCTGCTGTCCCTGGATGCCTTGACCCCCAGGGAAAGGTACGAAGTCCCTGCTGCACACACAGCCAACCCTGCAAGCAAGGAGGAGGAGGGGAGTTGCAGAGCATATGGAAAGACTGGTTGAGACTGAACCAAGGGCATTGCCTGCCATGACACAAGGCTGTGAATGGTTGGCAGGGGCTCAGTGCACTGACTCTGAGGCACCATTGCACAGGCAGCCTTCTCTGAGAGTAGGGAAAGTCACAGACGAGAGAATTAGCTACATACACAGCCCTGAACGGGGACAAAAAAACAGCTTTCACAGGAACTGCCAAGGAGCAGTGAAAACACAGCTCTGCTGGGACTCACCTGAAATCTCCCTCCAGTTTTTCCTGCTGCACAAGTTTAGACACAATTGGGCTCATCAACACTTTGTTAATCATCGTCCCAATGATGAAATACCCAAAGATGCTCACCGGGCCTAGACAGCCTGTGCTACAGAGGAGAAACAGAAGTCAGCCAATAATCCAAGCAAAAGGACACTCCTGCACCATTAGGCTCAAGCAATCAGAGCCCTCAGCTGGCACCTCTCTTGGCTTTCACAGCAGAAGTCTGGGGCCAACATTGCACATCCCAGCATCCCCAAGGCAGAGTTCTCTTTGGAGTACAGAGACCACTCACCCATGTGTACAAATATCCATTTGGGGAGTTATAATGTGGGTGGCAGGCTCCAAAAACAGAACACAGAAAAGAGGTGTGCAAGCAGGGCCAGGATACATCCTTACCTGTGAAAGCACTGGTATGTGTAGTAGGCCAGTGTGAAGGGTGAGATGACGAGCTTGCTGGCCATGGAGCTGAGCTGCCTGCAGAACCTCTCCACATCCTGGCTGATGCGCTGGTCCCTGCTCAACACAAAGAGCCATTGGCACCATTACAGCCCAGAAGCAAGAGCCAGTACTAAAACCTTAACAGGGCACAAAGCAGGCTGTTTCAGTGCATGAACATGGGACAGGCAGCTGGTGAACAACCTTACCTGGGAAGGATCTGCAGATTCCCCACACAACCTTACCTGGGAAGGATCTGCAGATTCCCCACAGGACACCATTTTCATGGCCCAGCAGGACCCACCCAAGGGCCTTCATGGCACCCAGGAAGAACAACTCTTGCCATTGCTTTCAACCTGTTCCTTGTATTTATCCTCTGTTCCACTTTCAACAACATTGTTCAACACTTGTGCTGAAGGTCTCTGCATCATTGTCCTTTACTCCTCTCCTATAACAACCCCCATACTATGAAAAACTACTGAGTGCCCTAACCTTCAGTACTGGACTGAGATGCCATCAGACCCACCAGGACAGGCCAGAGCACAGGCCAGGCCTTCACCAGCTATTGGATATTTGCAAACACCTCCATCAAAGCTACCCTTTCACAAGAGCCAATCCCTTGGCTCTGCATGGAGTGCCTCTGGTTCCTTTGTTGCAAAGAAGGAAGTGCTCCCACCCACCCCAGCCCACAAGAGCAGGAAGCAGCACACCAAGCCTTCTCACCTCACTAGCAGCAGCACATGGGTGACAAACCCTCAAGTCCCATCTATCCCACTGCTGAGCAGGAGCTGCACTTGGGACAACTAGGAAGAATTTCAGTGTATTTACTCCTCAGCACCTCATCTGTCCAGAGCACATGGATGAAGGCTTCAGTCTGCTGTGCTAAGCTCCACTGGAAAGGGCATAATGTAATGCTGGAGTTCAGAATGAAGAGCAAGGATGGACTCTTGGATAGTCTCAGTGCAGATACTGCCACAAAGGCACTCATATTTAAACACTTTTGCAGTTCTGGAACAGCAATGGATTTAATTCTGGGGCAGCTCTCACCCTGACTGACCTCTCAGTCATCATTTTTCCTTCTCCTCAGACTGTAATATTCCCACAAAACTGTAACTTAAATTGTGCTAAAGTGTCATCCAATGATACTGCTTTTTACAAGCTATTAAGTAACATGTAATGAAAATACATGAAAGCATCAACTCAAATGCCCTAGCAGGTGCTGTAAGTGCTTGTATGCCACTAGGAACCCACTCTTCATTCCTTCAAAGAGGGTGACTCCATGCATTTAACACTCAGTTTGGTTTGCACTGCATAATGGGAGGTCTTCTCTTTCTCTAGGTTTGTTCTCTAAGTACCTGGTGCAGGGAAAAAGCTCTCATCAAGGAATTGCAAGATGAAGAGAATTTTTGCAGTGGCACCAAAACCACACTAAACAGTAAGACTGAAAGTTGGAGCAGAAGCAAGGTGTAATGAGACATACTCCACAGTAATCCCACACATTTGGTCTGCAAAGGCCATGAGAGCTGTCTCTTGCTGCAGGGCAGACTGACCCAGTTGTCTCCTACATTTCACTGCACAATGTGAACATGTTCCCTAGTTAAAAATAAACCTGAGCAGAATAATCATGTGGTGAGGGGGCCTCTGTCCTTCGCTTCCACTTGTGTCCCCAAAGAAAAAGACAGGCATGCAGGAGCTTCTGGCTTCACTGTGCTGCACTGCCTGGGAAGAGCTGCATGCCCTGGTGACAAACATGGTTTTTTAACCTCTCCTTGTAACTCCATGCCACTGAAAACACTATCAGAAATGAACATTTAATGATACTGGGAGTAAACACAACAGCAACCCAGAAGTGCATCAGCTTGATAATGATGACTTACTGCCCAACATGTGGAGCTGTTTGACCCAAGCTGAACCTCTCTCCTTGCTTGCTGCTTCCCCTTAGACACCCAGCATGTTTTCTTGCAGCAGCCACACAAACCACCCTGCTCTGCAATGAAGGAGCAAGGACAGGCAGCCAGTAGCACCAGGCAGCAGAACTGCAGAAGCTGCTTCAGTTTCTTGAAGTTTCCACTATTAGCAAGAGTTAGGAGTCCCTGCAAGACAGCAATTTTTTCCCTGGACATGGTCTCCTCTTGCCATCAACATGAGATATGTCACCAATGCAGTCACTAGATCAGAGGCGCCCACTCCAGCAGAGGAGAGCTTGGAGTCTCAAAACAATGGTATAACAACACATTATTTGGAAAACATTCCCCTTTGATTTCTAGTTTTTCAGCTAGTATTTAATAATAACAAATTTAAATTCTGGAGGGGGAAGAAACAGGGAGATTCTACACTGAGATTAGCTCAGCTGGTTAAAGCATGGTGCTAATAATGCCACGGGTTCAATCCTGTGTGGATTACTCAGTTAAAGAGTTGGACTCAATGATCCATGTGGGTCCACTCCAACTAAGAGTATTTTGGGATTCTGTGACCTCTCACATGATATCTAACATAGGATTTTTAGCTTCTCACTGTGTGCAACTATGACAGCAGGGCCCTGTGTGTGAGGACAAGCTGGAAGGCCAAGGTCCACACACAGCTGGGAGGAAGGGCATTCGACCTTTGCAGCGCAGCCCAGGCAGATCAACAGCTCTGCAGTAAGCAGTGCACAAAGCAAGCTGGAGAGAGACCTCTTGGGGGTGGGTCTGGGATCCACAAGGAGACTGAATGCTCCTCCTCTTATATTTCAAGTCACCACTGATACTTCCTTCCTAGGAACAGGAAAGGGAAACGCAGCCCTCATACAGTGCAAAACAAAGCCCTTCCTGGATTTGGCTCCCATGGATTATCAAACCACAAAAATACAATTGAACTGTGCTCAGCTGCAGATCCTGGTGTGTGAAGTTCAAACAGAACAGGGACTGTCCTAATGCACCAGTGGTGTGAAAGAAAGGAGAGGCACTGCTCACTCCAACATTTGCAACATCACACAGTGTCAAGGGTTGAGTTTGCAGACAGCATGTTTTATAGCAGCACTAGATAGAGCCCTGTTCCAATGGGCATCCACTTTCCTTGCAGCTGAGACATCCCGCCCCTAAAACTGGCATTCACAGGAATTCCCAGCAATAGGTATCACCTCCCACCAGGGTAGAAGAGGGTGCCTAGATTTGTGCCTGGATGGTAAAAGCTTCTAGGGCTCAAGCCCCTACCCAGAGACAAAGAGAAGTCGGGAAAAGGTGCGCAGCAGCCCAGGAGAAGCCAAGCAAGATACTGAAAGAAGCTGCCAGCAGCCTACGGGTTATCGATGTCCTCACGCAGCACGAGCAGGTTGTAGTAGACCTGGCCTTGGAAGTAGCAGCTGTGGAGGTATTCAGTGAGGGACTTCCTCCAGTTCACATACATCATGTTGCAGATAAACTGATCGAAACTTTTTAGCTGGAACAAGGGCAAAGAGATGGATGGGAAGAGATAAGTGAGAACAAACATTTTTCCAAAATGAAATAAAAACCAGCAGTTTGTACTGGTGACCCAGCGTATGGCAGACTTGAATCCTTTCTGACCAAGATCAGGCCAGGCACCATGGGCAGCTTTCTCTTCCTCTCCCAAGACACACGAGCCTCTGCTCTTACCGTGGAGTTCACAATGATCAGGGTCACAGCAACAGCAGTCAATGTTTTGAATCCGGAGAAGTCCTTGTTCCCTAGGACCTCATAGTACTGGCTGGGGATGACGCCGACCTGGTAAATAACCAGTTGCTCTGGAGGAGAAAGGCAAGCAGGGGAAGGAATTGATGGACTGCGGTGACAAGGCAGAGTGGGGACCACAGGGAGCAGACGTGGGGTGCAGCCCCCCATCCCCACCACCCGGGCTCACCCAGCAAGGCGACACCGAGCAGCGTCAGGAACATGAGGACGCTCGGGGAGGGCCACCCGGGAAAGAGCACGGCCAGGAGCCGCAGGAACCGCCGCAGGAACAGCCCGTCCAGCCGGGAGCCAGCCCTGCAACGGCGGGAGAAGCGGGGGGTGGCAGTGAGCTCGGGGGTCCCACCCCAGCTCCCCTCCGCCACGCCCCGGCCCGGCCCCCTCCGTCCTCACCGCCCGCGGGCCCCGGCGCCCCCCGCGCTGCTGCTGCCCCCCGCCATCGGCGCCCTCCGGACCTGACCGGCCCGGCACGGCACGGTCCGGCAGGCCAGACCCGCCCCCGCGGGCGCTTTTCATGAATATTCATCACCTCTCCTCGCCCTGCATCCGCCCCGCCGGGGGCCACCGCCGCTGCCGCCGCTTCCGCGTGCGGCGTCACCACAGAGCTCCCGCCCAGCGCCGCCTCTCCCCCGCGGCCCAGCGGCACAGCGCCCCCTGGCGGCGCCGGGCGGGTGTGCTGCTCAGCACACAGCGGAGCCGGGCCGGCCATCCCGGCGGGCCGGCCATCCCGGCGCGGTGGGCGTGCTTGTGTTCCTCACCTCTGGCCCCCGCCTGCTCACAGAGCCGGACCGTAGTGCCGGGCAGGGCCCGGGGCCGAGCCGCAGCCGTAGCGCCGCAGAATCGGGCACTAACGCGTCTCTTGAGGAAGGAGCTGGACAGGCACGAACTGATCCCTCTGCGGATCCCAGGGGATGAGGGACAGTCGCCCTGGGCAGCAGGTATTGCCCGCCTGTTACAGGGGAGACAAGAAAGAAGCACCAGTACTGATTCTGCACATTCGTCTTATTTTGGGGTGGACAGTGAAGGTTCCGTTTGCTTCCAAAGGACTCACAACTGGCAGTGACCACTGCAGGGGATCTCTCAGGCCAGGACATTGGGATTGGACCGCGATCCCCAGCGCGATGGTGACGGCAGGGCGTGCTCCCCACCCTGCTGCAGGAACGCGAACGAAGCAGCGCGGAACCCCCGACAGAGGGAGGAACTTCAAGAAAGCAGCAATGAGTGTCAGTGAATGGACCCTCTCTGGCTTCTCAGTGACCCCGGTTTTAATACAGAAACCAACTAATTTTTTTTGTCAGGTTTGGGTTGGAACCTAGTTTCATAACTCAAAAAGTCATGAAATAGTTCAGAACAAGTAAATTTCTGGACAAACCTAGTGATTACAGATGAGATATCCTATGAGCTGCCATGCCTTCCTTTCTCATGTGTCTCTCCCCTACCATCCAGTTGATGCCATTTCTTCTGCAGAGCCTTTGGGCTTTTGCGTGTACCCTGTGGGTTCCTTTTCCCATATGCCTAGTAGCTTTGTTCTTCTGCCATTTCCCTGCCTCCCGGCCCTTCTTCTCTTCCTTCACCCTCATCTCCTTCATCTTTGCTCTGCTGCTACCTGCTCAGTGGTCCAGATAATTCATACTTCACACTTCACAAAATCAGTGTATCAGTGTATGCTCTCAGGGATGAAAGAAGACACATCAGTGTGTTTCCTCAGCAAATGGCCTTGTCTCTAAGTAGTGTCCCTTTCTCCTTGCTCTCATCTCCCTTCTCTCATCTCTTTTGGAATTCACAATGCTATCAGTCATACCTAAAGGTTAAGCTCCAGAGGGCAGAGATCAGCCCTGTGAAAACCTGACCTCAGTGATGACTAACTTTTATGTTAAAAGAATCATGGGGTTTTTTCTCAGCTGTTGCATCAGACCTGGGTGACATTTACTCCTAGGCAGTCACATCCTCTCATGGGGCATTACTGCAGCTGTGGAAATTGTGTGGGTCACCTTGTCAGTGGTTACCAGGATTGAACTGACTCCTTTGCTCTGCTGTCCACTTTATGATGAGGGGATCTTCCTTCCCTTCCCTCCTCGACTGGTGAAATGGCTTTCCAGCGCCAGGGCAGTCAAAGGATCTAACACAGAGATGAGATGGCCACAACTGTCTGTCCCAAGCCCGCCCTCCTACTTCTTCCTTCTCCCAGCCCTTTGTTCTGTCACTGGCACCCCACGACCTCCCCCTGATAAAGCACACGCTGTGAGCTCCCTTTGGCGTATCAGCTTCACGATTTTTCCTGGGAACTCTCCTAAGGCAGCCAAGATCAAGAACAAAAGAGAAGTGCTTTCTCAGTGCCTCTCCATCCCCCCTCCGAGGCTGTGCCCTAGACACTCAGCTGCTGTCAGCACAGAAACATTTACATCTTTTACAGCACTCCAGCTCTACTTCTCACGTTTCTCCCCCAGCAAACACCATGGCCATTTCAGTGTGTGCCTGGGGGCAGGGCTTGGGAAAGGACTGGGGAATCACAACTTGAGCAGAGTTTTATGGGTCTGTTTGCACTGAAGGGCCATATCTCAGCTCCCTGACTAGCTACAGACCCAAGAGAAACCCCCTCTGCATTGCTAACCTGTCACCGAAGTGTATGCCATGAATCCAGGGAAGGGAGAGCTGGGCCTGGCTTGCTGGGTCCTGGGCTCCTTGAGGCAGTGCAAGTTAATTCCTTGTGGTGTTTAACCGCAGCCCCATCTGCTCCTGCTTGCTAGGTGTGAAACATCCCATCCCCCATCCTCCCCTGCCTGTTCCATGCATTTTTGCCCTGCCCGGGACCAGTGAAGGAAGCCAGATCCTCCTGCATCCCTGGCCTCCCAGCCGCTGGCTCACGTCGTTCCCCACTGCCCCTCCATGTTTCCATTTCCCTGTGGTCCCTCTCTGCCTGCTGGCCTGAAGCTGGGATGCAGGGAGAAGCCTGACAAACCCATCTTTCGCTGCCTTTGTGTAGTAAGTGGTCCTGGGTGTCCTCTGAAGCAAGCAGCAGTTTCTGTCATCACAGAAAGAAACACAAAACTGCAGCCTTGAATCTGTAGTTTGCTTTCCCTCTTTCCCAGCTCTTCCTTAACGCTGCTGTCTTTGTGATGTTGCGTAATGAAGCACTGCCAGAAGATTATCCCCTTCCTGGGCTTTCCTAAACTGAATCCACCATTTCCTGCCCATGTTTCCAATTCCGAGTCTCCTCACAGGTACCTGTCCTCACCAGAGCTTGCAGCTTCTTCAGTGTGGGATCACCTACAAGCTTTAGCCCTCCGTCAGATCATTAGTAAGGCAGGGGTAATAAAAACTCCCATCCTGAGTTTCAGCTCCGTCTATATTAGGGTGTGAACTAAACCAGATAATTTTCAGCTGGATCAGCAAGCTGAACTGACTGAGAGTCCCTCACACTCCTGTGCCACCCCAAAGCAGAGGGTGGGAATGGGAAACCAAGGGGGAGCAAACAGCATAGGCCAGGCTCAGCATGGCTTAAACCTCCATGGAGCCACACCACGGGCTCCTGCTGTGATATCTTAATGATTCTGCCTTTTCCTTCTCCACACTCTCTGTCTTAATTAGCCTTTCCCCCTCCTGTGGGCCAAACTGCTCTGCTTTCTTTTCAATCCTCCTTCCTTGTGCTTTGCCTCTAACAGTGTCTTTCTACTGTACACTTCAAAGGCTTTGCTTGCTGCATCTCCCCCATGCTGGCATTGGCTGGTAACACCCCCAAAGCAGGCCAGGTCGGCCATGAACTCAGAGTCAGTGAAATGGCTTTGGGCCCATTGGATCTGGGTAAGAAGCAGGCACGGGGGAGGAGAGGTCAAGGATTTTTGGCATTTCACCTATAAGAAGAATTATTAGTAACACAGGAAAAAAAAAGGGGGGGGGGAGAGACCCCTCCTCCACCTACCCACCCACCCTCCCCAGAGAGAGCCCGCTGAGGGCAGAGTGCTTTTATGTGCAAGTGGGAGGGAAGGAGAGTGTTAGGGCTTCAGAGGGAAATGCTTTGATCTTGACTTTGAATCTCATTCAGTTCCCAGCTCTCCCCCACTCTCCCACCTATGGCCAGGACCACAGGATGTGGCCAGGACTCCTGGTCCTTGCTCAGTGCTATGGTACTTCACTTGCTGTTTCACATTTAATGTCCTCCTGTGCACCTGGGAGCCTCACAGAGGCCTCGTGGAGCAAGAGCACAGTGCCAACACCAAGTTCAAACTTTCCCCCTATCTCACAGAATGGGAAGAGAAAGGGAGCCCAGTTGGACAGAAGCCAGAAGGAAAAAGAGCCCCGAGATGAGCAGAGGTGAATTAGAGATGGTACCTATTCTCAAGGCTCTGGTTCCCCAGGGTGGGGATCAAGCAGACCTGGCTCTCCTGTGTGTCCCAGTGCTTTAGACTGGTCAGTGCTGAACATGATCCAGAAGATGTACTAGGAAGCAGTAACCATTAGGAGAGGGACAGGGAGTGGCTCTCAGAAGACAGCACTGATGTCCCCATGTCCCACAAAGAGTTATTTTAAGTTGGAGAGAGGAGAACAGCAATGAGAGCCCTTGGTGTTCTCTGCAGGATGGGAAGGAGGTAGCACTGATGAGTGCTGAATGATGGGGAATGACCCTGCGTTCTGATTCACTTCAAAGGAAGAGGACTATAGGGTGTGAGAGAGACTTAGGGGCCTCCAGTCTCTTGTCCAAGGTGGGATCTAATGTGTAGGCAAGTTCCCCACTTCCCTTGGGAGATGAAACTGCTGACTGGGCCTTGCCCTTAAGCTGTCTTCAAGTTCAGGCCAAATACTTCTGTGTCTGTATTGCTCCTTTTTTTCTCAGCTGAAGTCACTCCTGTTAATTGCTGTCCCTTGCTGAGGTTGATGCACTTGAATATCCCTGCCTGCCAGTTCTCACTTCAGCACCACTAAATAGATTTTTTCCTCACATCATCTCCTATTTATAATTTAATCACTCCAGCTCTGCTACTCCTGGCTGAAAACTTCCTATAGTTTGTTTCTTTCCCTTTCAGTATGATTGAAGCAGACCTGTCTGCTGGTCCAGCACTGTCCCAGGCATGCACAGACCCGAGGGTGCCCCACAGGACTTCTCTGCAGAGCCCAACCATTGCTCTCTCTGAGCATCACTTTAAGGGCTTCAGCACACACATGAGGCAGTGGGTTCAAAGGTGGTTTCAGGCCTGGGAATGAGAAATACCAGACAATGTGAATGCCAAAACAGGACTTCTGTCATTCACAGTAAACAAGTTACTACAAAAATTGAGGTGGACTTCATGTTTTCCAGGTCCTTCTTGAGCAATATTGCACCAGAACCCTTTGAAGTTCCTTCTCCCTAAGACTGGTGGGCATATTGCAGCTGCAGCAATCTGATTTCTCTTGCCAGTTCAGGCTGCAAGCTCTGCTCATTGCTCTTTCCTTGTGGAGTAATGCAAGGCACAGGAGAGAAAGCAGCCAGGACAGTAGACACTTTGCACCCTCCTAGGAGCTCCCATGCTCTCATTTCCATCAGCCCCTCTACAGTCCCACCTCCCCTGACTTCCTGGATACATTCAAATTCTGCAGTGCTCTGGA